CTTTACCTCACTTGACTCTACGACACTCTCTATAGACTATCTATAGACTCTCTATAGCCGACACTCATGGCCCCAAAACTCATGGCTAATGATGCTTTCGGGCCACTCGTCTTCTAGTAATTATAGGGCTTATAGGCTGAGGGTTGAGGGTTTAAGGTGTAGGGCTGAGGGTTCCAAGATTACAGGTTTAGGGTTTAAGTCTTGAGTTCAGAGGTTTGGGCAGGGGTTTACATGGGATAAGGTGTGATGTAGGGGGCTACAGAGGGGTTCTGGGGTAGAAGGGCGCACTCTCACTAATCATTAGAGCTGGACTTGTCTAGTGGTTGAGGGGGCTCTTAGGGTCCCGCGCTTGTGCTTCCTTTCCACGGATGAAGGACGTACTCTGAATGATAGAATAGTATAGCATAGTATCGTTTAGTATAGTATAGTATAGTATAGTATAGTATAGTATAGTATAGTATAGTATAGTATAGTATAGTATAGTATAGAATAGTATAGCATAGTATCGTTTAGTCTAGTATAGTATGGTATAATATCGTTTAGTATAGTCTAGTCTAGTAAATACCTGCAAGGGAAGCTATGGGGCTTACTGGGAGGGGACCCTGCCTTCGTTTCGACTGAGAACCGGTGGGTCAAGGGTTGACGGGTTTAGGGGCTTGGGCTTCAGGGTATCAAGTTTACTTCTTGGGCCAGTCGGATTGAAGCTTTCGGGGCTTAGGAAACCCTAAACCCTAAACCTTCAGGGTTTGGGCACCCCGGACTTTAAGCTTTCGGGGGCTTAGGAAACCCTAAACCCCAAACCCTCAGGGTTTAGGAATTTCGCCGTTTAGTGTCGTCGAGTTTCGGGTTAAGGAAGTAGGGCCGAAACGTCCAGGGCTGGGGATGTGTGGCCCCCTTGATCCCCAAGGCCCGCTTGGGTTTAGGGTTTAGGGTGTAGGGTTGAGGGTTTCGGGTTTAGGGTGTAAGGTGTAGGGTTTAGGGTTTAGGGTGTGGGCGTTTAGGGTTTAGGCTTAGGGTTTAGGGTGTAGGGTTTAGGGTTGAGGGTTTAGGGTTTAGGATGTAGGGTTTGGGGTGCCTGACCCAAAAGCCAAGTCAACCAGCATTCGACTCGATAACCGCATCACCAGGCAATTCAGTGGTCTTGGAAATTTGAACAAGGACTTGAGCGGGCCGATTGCAAGCCCATAGCAACCCTAACTTGGATCCTCAATCAACAGAGAAGGGTTTCGGCCTATACTAAAATGCACACCCTAAACCCTAAACACCTAAAAACCCTAAACTCTAATAAGGAACCGCATGGAATGGTATAGGTATAACTATTTAGGCTTCTATCTACCATCCAAGGCGCCTCTGGAGGTACGCGTGCAGGAATTACGAGATAGCCTGATGAGCAGAAGGGTTCTGGGCTACGGCTGCAAGGTTTAGAGTTCAGGGTGTAGGATTTAGGGCCTCAGGTGGAGGGTTCAGAACCTTAAACCCGAAACCCCTAAACCCCTAAATCCCTAAATTCCGACACCCGAACACCCAAACCTAAAAGCTGAAAGCCTGACACCCAATGAGGCTTGGGCATTTGGGCTCCGGCACAATTTCCCACACCCTCAGAGCAAAGCATAGAGAAACTCAGCATGAAGTATCTTCAACCCTAGACCCTAAACCCTAAACCCTGAACCCTAAACCCTAAACCCTAAACCCTAAACCCGAAACCGGAAACCGTTGAGACGTGTTCGAAGTTGCCGCAGCTCCCAGAGCCTCAAATCCTAAAGGCCTGAAGCCCAACAGCCCATGAGGGTTTTGGATTTTGGGTTTTGGGTTTAGGGTTTAGGGTGTAGGGTTTAGGGTTTAGGGTTTAGGGTTGAGGGTTTCGGGTTTAGGGTTTAGGGTGTATGGTGTAGGGTTTAGGGTTTAGGGTTTAGGGTTTAGGGTTTAGGCTTTCGGGGTGGTGGCATCATTTCTTGTCTCAGCTGCCCTGGAGGTTTCCGGAGGCGTTCGCGAAAGCCCAAGATCAAACACCTCCTGAA